ACTAAGAGATAAAAACATTGCAATACATACTTATAAATAAGACCAAGCTTTTATCCAAGAAATTGAGAACCTAGGCAGAGGAGGTTCTCTTGCCAGGTCCAATGCCTCTGGGCAGCTTCTGCACAAGTCAACAGCCCGGGCACTATTTATTTAAATCCCCACTTCATAGATCTGCTTGGCAATGCCTGATTGTTGGCCTTCCCCCCAAATTCGTATGTTGGAACCTAATACCCAATGTGATAGTATTAAGAGGTAGAGTATTTGGGAAATGATTAAGTCATGAGGGCTCTACCCTCATGAGTGGTATTAGTGCCCTTATAAAAGCTCCAGTGAGCTCCCTTGCCTCTTCTGCTATGTGAGGACACATAGAAGGTGCCATCTATGAGGAACAGGCCCTCACCAGATACCAAATCTGCTAGTGCCTTGATCTTGGACTTCCTAGCCTCCAAAACTGTAGCAATACATTTCTGTTGTTTATAAATGACCCAGTTCAAGAAATTTGATATAGCAGCCTGAACAGACTAAGACAACCCTGAAGGAGAGCCATGCATCCAGAAGTAAATTTTGTTTCCAGAAATGTCTTTGAGAGGAACACCCTAATTAAAATCCTCAGCATTCCGCTGTGAGAACCATTCCATTTGGAGAAAATGTGTGGGCTAAGAAAGAATGCAGATTTTCTCTTGGTTCAACTAATGATATGATTAGCATTTTTTTTTTTCTATTCACTGCCAAATTTGTTCTAATCTGCCATGCTGTGTGAAAATCTTGTATGCTTTTTTTCAAGGACATTGGCTTTGGAGGCTAGAAGACAGAATCTAGTAATTAACTCCTGTGTCAGCATAAATGTCCATAGCCTGAAGAAATTCTGGAATGCACACAAGCTCCCAAATAGATCAGAGATCACACAATTAATATTATAAAATGACTGACTATTTGTTTGTTTTGGCCAGGAATTCCTGCCTTTTTGTTTGCACTTCTCTGAAGGTGCCTCTAGTTAGCAAAGGGGGTTTTGTGAAAGTTTCAGAATAAATTTCCTGTATCTTTACTCTACTGAAAATATAGTTATATGCCCCCTTTTATTTGGGGAACAGGTTTGAGGAAAGTGGAGATAGAGGATGTAACAAAATCAAATAAACAATGGTCTTTTTGTAAACAATGAAAGGTTGACTTCCTATAGGACTTACTAGCTGGTGGACTCATTTGGCACCTAATATAGTGGCTTGTTCTGGATTTAACTGTTTCATGCTTGTGTGTGTGTATATATATATATATATATATTTGGTCTCACACCAACTCTAATCATTTGCTGCCAGAGAGAAGCAGCAGTGCCTCACTTTTCTTTTGTAAAATAGTATAACCACTTTAGAATACAAATAGGCAGATTCTTAAAAAGTTAAGTAAACCTGGAAAAGAAAAAGGACAGTAGGCAAAAACTAAGAAAATCTGAATAAAGAAATTACTTTAGTTAATAATAATGTATCAATTTTGGTTCATTAATTGCAAAAAATGTACTATAGCAACTTAGGAGGTTATTAATAGGGAAACTGGGTATGGGGTACATAGGAACTATCTATACTATTTTCACAATTTTTCTGTAAATCAAAAATTATTCCAAAGCAGTTTGTTTTAAAAAATCATAACTAGGGCCGGCCCAGTGGCGCACTGGAGAGTGCGCTGCTTGGGAGCACAGTGGCGCTCCCGCCGAGGGTTCGGATCTCATGTGGAGACCGGTTCCCGCTCACTGGCTGAGCGTGGTGCGGGCGCAACACCGAGGGTTGCGATCCTGTTGCCGGTCCCCGGTATGGGCGCTACACCGAGGGTTGCAATCCCATTACTGGTCAGTAAAAAAGACAAAAAGGAAAAAAAAAATCATAACTAAGGGCCGAGCCCGTGGCGCACTCAGGAGAGTGCGGCGCTGGGAGCTCAGCAGCGCTCCCGCCACGGGTTCAGATCCTATATAGGGATGGCCAGTGCGCTCACTGGCTGAGCGCGGTGCAGCCGGTCTCAAAAAGGACCAAAAAAAAAAAAAAAATTCATAACTAAAAAATGAACTAAAAAAGTTAAATGTGTACCTACCACATAATTCAGCCACTCCTTGTCTAGGTATTTAGCCAAGAAAAAAGGAAATATATGTATATCCAAAGATGTATATATGAATATTCATAGCAGCTTTATTTGTAATAGTCCCAAACTGCAAACAACCCAAATATTTATCAACAGATGAATGGATAACCAAACTGTTGTATAATCATATAATGGAATATTACTCACCAATAAACATGGAATGAATTATTGATATGAATAACAAGATGTATAAACCTCAAGATAATTGTGTTAAGTGAAATGGTCCAGACAAAAATGAGTTTATATAAAACTCTAGAAAATGCAGCCTTGTTTATTGTGACAAGAAGATCAGTGTTGTGGGAGAAAGGCAGGAGGAAAGGATTTCAAAGGGGCATTAAAAATCGTGGCGGTGCTTTATATGTTATTTTTATTATGGTGATGCTTTCACAGGTGTATCCATATTGTACACTTTATATTGTATGTTGTTTATTGTATGTCACTTATATCCTAATAAAGCCACTTGTTTTAAAAAATCCACTCAGTCATGTACAGTAAATGGGAGATATTTATCTTAGTGTCATGTAATTATTACTCTTGATCATAAAACATAGCCCTGCCTTTTTGATAGTGAAAATTCTGCTACTAAATATGTACCAGTGTACCTATCACTTGTCCTTTGGGGTACCAGTTTCCTGTTCTGAAAAATGAAGAATGATTTTTAAGGTCTTTTACAGGTAGATACATTGTTAATAATCCCAAACGTGTAGTATCTAAAAACAATTTACAAGAAATGCAGTTGCATTAATTTCAAATAAATCTTAACTTGAAATTGCCTAATAAAGTGTTACTAATTATGAAACTTAAAGTTTAAATGGGAATTAATACTTAAGAATTACTTGTAGTATATCAATCATTGTTCTCTGAATATCTGCTTTGTGCCAGGCAATTAATTAGAAGGGATTTTTTTAAAAAATAAAACTACTTTAATGAGATATAATTCATTTACCATACAATTCACCTATTGAAAGTGTTCAATTAATTTTTTTTTTTGGATATTCACAGATATGTTCAACCTTCATCATGGTCACTTTTATAACATTTTCATTACCTCAAAAAAAAAAAAAATCCCCAGACTGCTTAATGGCTACAGGGTTTCCTTTTGGAGTGACAAAAATGTTCTTTCTAGAAGTAGATAATTGTGGTGGTTGCACAATATCATGAATGTACTAAATGCCACTGATTTGTACACTTTAAGATCATGCATTTTATGTTATGTTGTATTTTACCACACACACAAAAACATACCCATACATTTTAGTTATCACCCCTATCACCCCATCCCTCCCTGCTAGCCCTAAGCAACCAGTAATCTACTTTTTGTTTCTATGGTTTTACCTATTCTGGACATTGCATCATATAAATGAAATCATGTAATATGTGGTGTTTTGCCACTGGCTTCTTTCTCTGAGCATAATGTTTTCAAGGTTCATCCATGTTGTAGTGAACTTCATTCCTTTTTATGGCTAATAATACTCCACTTCATGAATATACCACATTTTATTTATCCATTCATTATTTCATAGACATTTAGGTTGTTTCCACCTTTTGTCTATTATGAATAACGCTGCTATGAACATTGATGCACAAGTTTTTGTGCGGATGTATGTTTTGATTGCTCTTGGTTATATACCTGGAAGAGGCTTTACTGCAGCACATGGTACCACTATGCTTAACCATTTTCCATTCCTCCCAGCAATACATGACGTTTCCAATTTCTCCATATTCTTGTCAACCCTTGTTATAATCTTTTTTATTATAGTCATTCTAGTGATTATGAAGTTGTATCATGTGGTTTTGATTTGTATTTCCCTGATGACTAATGATTCCAAGCACCTTTTCATGTACTTTTTGTCTATAAATATGCTCCTATTGTTAATATTTTGCATAGGCTCTCAAAGTTTCATGGACCCTCCAAGTTATGAACCTCTAGAATAGAGTTATTAGGTGGATACATGAAGAGAAATTGTCATGGGAGTAATTATAAATTATATTTATTTATAGTTAATAATATACAGTATACTTTGTCATTTATACTGGTATATAGTCAATAAAAAATGAAAGAATACATTTTAACATGGTTGCACTGAAATATAAGATTGATTTGAACTACGTGATTCTTAATTAGGGTGGAGTGGAAGGGTTCTAATTCCTATCTGAATGAGGAACATACACTACACATCACCACCTCTGAAACAAAGGGAAGCCCCATACACTGCGTGAGGTAAGAAAAGTTACCTATCACTTTTTTCTACAAATGAGAAAGTACTAAATAGAATTAGAAAACCAATAGTATTGATATCTATATACCAGGGAGGTAGCTGTGTAACAGGAAAGTAAAAACAGGTCTAGGGATATGCTAAACAGGAGGATTAGTCATTTTTAGGATGATCAGTGGATGCTGGGAAAAATAAACACTATCCAACAAGAGTCAAGATATTTTGGCTGAGTACCAGCTCACTATTGCCACCATAGCTTTACGCTTATGAAATATGAAAGATGTCTGCTCCCAGAGAGTAAATGAACATTTGCCTAGTGGTCTGAGGAGTCACTTAAAAAGTCTGGACCTCTGTTATGACTGGATGGAGTAATAGTGGCCTAAGCTTTGGAAACTTAAAGAAATATGCTTAGGCAGCTTTGAGAAGGTCATTACTCCCTAATGGCATATTCTTAGAACGTGAGAACAACCTCCTTATTATGTTAGAAGCTTACATATTTGCATTTCTTAAGGCAGTCACTCTTGGTCTCTACCAGATCAGCTTTTAGAGAATGGAATGATTTGAAGTTGCAATTAAAATCCTGGGCAGAATCCCTTCTAGGATGTGTTATTGCTCAACTGCAAAGACAGCAAAGAAAAATAAGCAATTCAAGTTCTGTACCTTATTTCACCTTCTCTAATGTGACCAGCCAGTTCCTCAATAAACTTCTCCCCTTTCATCCAGTAGATCATTGGCCCGGACTCTCCACTGAATCCGAAGAATGCTTTGCAAGGGATATTCAGTGGCTTACCTGAGAATGAGAGAAAAAGAAATGAGCAAATAACTCCTTTATATCACTGGGAAATAGGAAGGGACCTTTTAAGAACCAAAGGAAAACTCAGAGGTGACCCGTTTTTCATGGGAAAATTTTAAAGTAGTTACAAAGGCTCCCAGGAAATTTTGAAATCCAAATATTATCAAAAATGAGAAAATAAAGAAAGTTACTCAGTTTTTAGAAGTTTATTTTTCCTGCCTCCCTCCCATTACTTTTTATTATGCTTCCTTGCGTTTATAGCTAAAAACTTTTTTTTAATTTTGAATTTCTTACCAAATATATAATCATTTTTTTCTGGCATTCATTTTATTTTCTTCTTGCAAAGTAGATCAGTAAGGGAAGAATGGTATAGTGAGCACAATATTGACATTTCTGACACTTACAGGAATTTCCCAATTCATAAATTATATTACAGCATATCATTTTCTACATAACATGCAAATTTTGCCCTGGTTAGAGGACTAAATGAAACAATTTCAAAATGTTTTTTCCTTGTATTGTTCATGGTGGACTTGTTCCCATGATTACCCTACGCCATGGACAAATTTTCCATTGCACACTTAAATTTATCCAAAACTTCCATGTTCTAAGAACTATCATTTTCTGAAACTGTTTCTCTTTAATCACCGGAACTAGTAATAGCTTTCTTTGAGGATCATTTTCACAAAACAACAACAACAACAACTTTTTAATAGGAGTTAGTCTATATTAAGACAAAAGGAAGATTAAGAACATCTCATAGACATGTGGATTCTGGGTGATAGACTACGCTGACCCATAATAAGTGACTTGCTGCCAAATATTAGTTTTATTGTAGTGCAAATTTATACCTTAGCAAAAGAACACGTTGTGGACCTTTTAATTATTCCATAATTGTCAGAGCCTTCTATGTCAAGAGTCTGTCATGTATGTCTGACACAAATCTGAAACAAGTTTATTCATTGTTGCATTGAACATATGCTATGTCATATAAGTTGTGTAAAAGTGAAGGACAGTCTTGTATAGTGGGAAGTGTACTGTATTAACAGTCAGGAAACATCGATCCTGGTTTTGGATCTATCATGAACATGCAGACTGTCTGGCCCTGGGTAGATTACCTAACATTCTGTAAAGTGATTCCTCATATATGTAATGAGGATAGTAAAAATGGGAGGCTCAAATGAGACCACGTATGAAACAGTGCTTGGTGAACTCAAAGGCCTCATCCAAATTTAGCATAGTTTTTTTTTTTTCTTTCTGTGGCTTGGTCATCCAAGTAGAAGTGAAATTTGAGGCAAAGTCTAATGTGGATACTGAGATAGATACATGTTCACTTTGACCCTGTCAATCTCATGTCCTTTATTTAAGAGTTTCTATGGAGTAATACCATTCTCTTATAAATGTTCTGTGATTTTTTCTTGGATTCTAGAGTAGGTATGATTCACTCAAGCAGGGCCTGAGTTTTCTGAAACTGAACACAGGGGTTTTTGTGTGCCTTGCTGCCATTTATTTCCATGAAATTGAAGGTATTAAGGACAATCAAACCAGATGGCAGAAAATCCAGAGATTGCGATAAACATTATTATAAGAGAAAGCAGTTGCTAAAACTACCAGTATATATACACATTTATACATATAAATTTTAGTTGTCATTTCTTTGGGCTATGTTGAAAGAATCTACCAAGTAAAATTCCTTTTAGTGATTCCTAGCATGTGGGTTCTCAGGCCTGGTTTGATTTTAATGGAGAAAGACAATTATAGCAATGTGCAAAAAGGGGTCTCCTCAAGGTGGTCTATCAAAAATGACAGCATCTGCCCTTTTCTTGGCACTACACACAAGGTACTGACTATTGCAGCAATTTCTCCTGGGAGGAATGTTTTTACTCTCCCATCAGACAGGTTCTTATTAAATAAATGCAAGAGACAGATATTTCAGCAGTCTGGTTTCTACAAAGGCTAAATAAATATCCTGAGGCCTTTTGTCAATGGCCAGAAACAGGAAAACTGTCCAACCATAATATGTAATACTCTGAGGAGAGTCCCAAAATCATCAGCTCTTGTGCCATATGGCGAAACTCAATGTGTGCCAGGGAGTGGGCACCTCCTCTTCTGAAGGCATGAGAGTTATCTCTCTGCATTTATTGGGAAAATAACCTGAAACAGAATTTCTCCAGGTATTTCTAATGTACATTTCTATATACAAACTCCTATCTACCATTTGCATCTGTTTGCAACTGTATTGTTTTGCTACCAGATATTTTAATGTTCTGTATGTCCTGTTAGGAGAGATGGCCACGTCACCTTTGCATCTAAAGTAGGTTGAAGACTATCAAAATAAAAAAGAGCTTTGTGAGTTGGTGCATCAGTGCTAGGTAATGAGGTAAGTGAAACTTTCTGGAAAGTGGCATAAAGTGGATTGTTTCTCCATTGCCCTGCTATTCTCTCAATTCCTTTCCTTAGAGGGCTGTGTGAGCAACTGCATTATGAATAGGTTGCTTAGAGTCCTTAAAAATCTAGAATTCTCAACAGGCTTAAATTTTTTACAGTTATGTATTTTGCCAGACACTTGACTTGAAAAGGATAAACTCAGATTATTATTTTTAAAATTATTATTATTATTATTATTATTATTATTATTAGTAGTAGTAGTAGTAGTAGTAGTAGTAGTAGTAGTAGTAGCAGCATATTCATCATTACAAATCGTAATCTTTCCCCATGCCCACCACCCAACCTATCACTCCTCAACCCTCCTCCTTCCCTCCCCTCATCTCTAGTATCCTTAGCTTTATTCTCTCCTTCTGAAACTTTAATGTATTATTGTGGTCTTTTTCTCTTTCTCTCTTTCTCTCTCTCTGTCTCTCTCTCTCTCTCTCTCTCTCTCTCTTTCTTTCTTTCTTTCTCTCTGTCCTTCTGTCTTTCCTTCCTTCATCTTTCTTTCTTTCTATCTTTCTTTCTTTCCTTCTCTCTTAGCACCCAGTTATGAGTGAGGAAATGTGGTGTTTCTCTTTCCTTGTCTGATTTATTTTACTTAACATAATTTCCCCCAGACACATCCATGTTGCTGCAAATGGCAGAATTTCATTCTTTTTTATGGCTGAGTAGCATTCCTTTGTGTACTTATACCACATTTTCCTTATCCAGTCGTCTGTCGATGGATACTTAGATTGGTTCCATATTTTGGCTATTGTAAATAGAGCTTGATGAACATGGGAGTGCAGGTATCTCTTCAACACGATGATTTCCATTACTTTGGATATATACCTAGTAATGGGATTGCTGGATCATATGGTAGTTCTATCTGTAGTTGTTTGAAATTCAGATTATTAATATATTTAGGAGGAGCGTCTCTGGAGAGTGAGCTCGAACTCCTACATCCCATTACATTTTCTTGGGTGTTAGAGCCCCAAATTTTTCAAAACCAGATCATGAGGTAAGAAAATCAAAGAGTAATGAAAGTTGATGTTATGGTAGTGGTAGCTGGGTTTGTGTGTCTGCTTGTTTGTGTGTCTGTGTGTGTGAGTGTGGGATTAAGAAAGAAGTGGGAGTTGGAGAGGGATAGGGTCCACATCTTACAATTCCCACATTTTCTAAATAACTAATGAAGATATAAATCAGTGGTGTGCTGGTAAATATTTTACAACTGATTTTCTGGAAAAAAAAGTATGCATATAAATATATACATTTATTACAAATTATACTGATATAAAGGATGTCAAACAATTTACAAATAATAATAAAAAGCAATATTTTTAGTGTAAATTCCATGTACACAGATCATTCTCATAGAATGCTTTCATTTATTTTTGTGAAACCCATGTTTGCAAATGAATAACAAATGTAGTTCCAATATGAATATTGGTCATTATTTTCATTAACATTAATGAGAAAGGTGAAAGTAAAACAATGGAAGAATGTCAGAACTTCACTTGTTCTTCAGTTATGTGAGTGACTTTATTTGATAAATTGGATAATAAATTCTGTTTTGCATTTCAAATTCATAGAAGTGCTCTTAGAAGAACTTTAAAAGGATCTGAGATTGAATTACCTGATGTGAGAGAATTACAGGTTAAGGGTGGAAAGATAAAATCTATTTTATTTTGACCACATACCTTAATGTCTTCTACCAGAAGTTTCTAAAAATTTCTCAAGGGCAACAGTTTGATTTTCAGTACCTTTATTTAGCTCCACCCCCACCATTTGATGGGCTATGGATTTTATAAAAACCACAGATAACCATCAATGCTCTTTTCTTGCCAAATAATTTTTCTCCATTCTTTGTTATATTTTTCTGTAAACAATTTTCAACCTCTTTTAAAGTCTTTTCGAAATAGTCCTATTACCTCTATCTCTTGGGATGCATTTTTTTTTTCCATTTGAGTGAGGGGAAGCACCCTCTTGGTGTTTAATTTTCTTGTGAAATTTGTAGTTTCATTACTGTGTTTTCATCTACAGCAGGGATTGTTTTCTGTGGGAATCACAGATGCTGAGGGCTGTGGAAGAATTCCCTGAGAGTAGTTCCAAGTTTGCCTCTGCCAAGGTCCTACAAGTTTCACTGGTTTGGAACCAGTTTTTCTGTTAATTTCTTAGCTTGGAGATTTGTGCCACATGTGGATTGTGTGCATTTAAAATCAGAGTTCCAATTTATTTTAAATGTTTTTTTTCCATTCATGACCATGGTCTTGGACTGAATGTAAATTTTCTGGTTGCTTTCCTAGATCAATGAGTAGAGTATTTTAGTCCCCATTTCATAGACTTCAAGGCTTTATAGACTATTCAGGTTACTAGATTTTTGCTGGGATCTCAGTTCTAGCTCCATACTTTAAAAAGATCCTGAGCTCAAGCCCTTAAACCCCTAAGGTTCACATCTAATTTTGTTATCCCCGGGAGGTATCCATCTTCAGTTTATACTCCTTTCTCTGGCTTCGGGTTCCCTTTCATTACTAAAACCCGAATTTCCCTTACTTACATTCAAGCTGGGCTAAGCATGTAAAA